TAAAAAAGTTTGAAAATTCCAAAATAAAACTATCATATTTTCATTTTCAAAATAGGAGTAATTATTGTCAGATTTGTAAAATACTGTCATGTTTAAAGTCTGATACTGCCAAAACATGGTAGAAATTAGTCATATTTGGGGAATAAAAAACACGGTAGTCCTATTTTGGAATATACAAACGTTTAGTCCTATTTAGGGCAATTTCCTGTTCGTTTTAGATATCAGGCTGACAAAAAACTACTATGTGGAGCTAAGTGTTTTTTTACCCGAAAAAAATCACCAAAATCAGTTGGGTAAATGTTGGAGAGAATTTATTGAATGTATTTAGAAAAAAATAAAAATTATATCATCGAGAGGGGGATTAGACCGTAAATTGTATGGTACCATGCACACGATATTATGTAATAATATGCTAGAGTATTAAATCAATAACGATTATTATAACATTTAATCATTGGAAGTTAACATTTAACTCATCCATTTTAATACGTGGCATTTAATAATATGGTTGAGTAATTTGCTGTTGAGTAAGGGAATCTAAAAAATTCATTAAAGATTATAAAATTTTAATAAAGATTGAATGTTTGATTGTTAACGGCCAAAACTAACGGAAACTAGGGGTGAGCATTCGGTCGGTCGGTCAAATAACCGACCGATAACCGAATAACCGACCAAAAATTTTAATTGGAATGACCGACCGATAACCGACCGATAGTATAACTCTAACCGACCGAAAAACCGAAGTTCGGTTTCGGTCGGTAACCGAAAAACCGACCATAACCGAACATGTAGAAATATTTAGCATTTTTTTTTATTTAAGGTGGTTCCCGGTGGAATTTTTCTATGAAATTTTATAAGCATATTCCTACTGAAGTGTATATAATCTCCACCAAATTTCAATTTGAAATTCCATCCGGAAGTTAGTTAAATAAATTTTTGAAAAATATTGCGTTTTTATGTATTTTGGCGCTGTAAATTGGAAAAAAATATTTAACTGACTTCCCGATTGAATTTTAAGGTGAAATTTAGTGGAGATAATCTATATTTCATAAGGAACATGCTTATAAAATTTCATTAAAAAATTCTACCGGGAACTACCCCAAATAGTATTTTTAGTAAAGCTTTATATATTTTGGTCGGTTATCGGTCGGTGACCGATAACCGATAACAATAACCGAATAATAACCGATTAACCGAAAAACCGAAAGTTTAAATTTTTAACAACCGATAATCGACCGAAAACCGAATTTTTCGGTCGGTTCGGTCATCGGTTAGATCGGTTGTATCGGTTATTTGCTCACCCCTAACGGAAACTAACGGAAGGACTTGATTAAAATGCATTACATAGAATAAGGACTAAAATGATATATTTATTAGTTGGAGGACCAAAACGATATAGTGATGACAGTTTAAGGACCATTTACGCATTTTACTCATAAATAAATTATCTGATTCCTTTAAGATCCTACTCGTATTTGTTACAGTACAAAGAAAGGTATATGTAGAACTTCATTCATCACTCCACCTCAGCCCACCCCCAGTATTGTCAAAAAGAATTTTCTTCTTTGAAGCAATGAACAACAGAATGTCTGCATCTCTTTTTAGCTCCCACATATTATTGAAGAAGATCCCCTCATCCTGTTTGTCTTTAAAAAATGGTGTTTTTACAGCCCACTTTACGGTTGTAAGTTCAAGGTTTCAAGCGAACTCGAATTGGCTGGATAATAACAAGGCCGTGAACAAGTGTATGAAGGAGGGGTGTTTAGGAGACTCTAGATCAACCAAAGTTGAAGAGGCTGAAGAAGAAGATAACTCCATTTCCAGTGGAGCATCGTCTACAGCTACTATCCCCACACTTGATAAAGAACTCAATAAGGTGACCCCTACACTCTTTCCATCCTTACCGTTTCTCTCGATTGCCCAGCAGCAAACCATGCTATTATAGCTCGATTAAGAGTAATTACAGCTTAGTTGAGTTAAAACTGGAATTGTAATTGATATTATCACTTCGTAATAGTTTATACGGGTTAAAGGTATGTTTTTTTAATTAAGCTCAAGAAGCTAATTATATAATGTGTCATATGAGTATGCATTTGAAAATTGAGTTGAGGTCATTGGTCTAAGCCAAGGTCTTATTGACCAATCTTATTCTCTTTACTTGTCTGATATGGGACTCTAACGAAATCTCAGCAGGAAAACCTAGTTAATAAGGTAAAGAAGTGTAAACATAGTTCTAAGCCTTGAACTAGACTAGTTAATCACTGGGATTTCAGTTTAAGTATGATTTGAGTATTTGAGTCTATTTAGATTTGGAGTTTCATCCTAAAAGGTGAAGGGTATATGTGTTTGCATCTTTATACTTGACTTGTGTGCTATGGTTTGATATTTGCAAGCTGTTATTTGGAGCAACCCCATTTTAAAGTTCATTCTCTTTTAAATACCATATTAAGACTAATACTCCATACCATATTTAGATTTAAGGTTCCATTCTAAATGTCAACCTTATAACAAAAGTAATCCTAGGTCTATATGATTTGTATTTTTATAGTTTATACTTGGCCAGTGTGATATGGATATCATGTGCATTATAACCCACCTAAGTAATTTGATCCAATAATTCTCTTCATTTCAAGAGATGTGGATAATTTCGCAATAACAGTTGTGTTAGACATTTGAAATTGACTCGAGATCTTCTTATCTCCTTCGTGGGCTGGTTGTTTCTAAATAAGCCCAAAAAGCTCAACATCAGATGGAAACTGCAGTATGTCAATGCATGTCAATATAGTGAAGAAGTTCATCTCTTACGTTTCTTGGGTGAAACAGAAATAATAATAATATTCAATTGTGTTGATGTGGGATTGTTTTGTAGTTGTGCTAATAAAGTAAGAATTGACATAAATATTCGTCTGATGGTATATTCTGCTTAAAACTTTTGTTTTTGGAAAACACTACCAGGTGGTTCAAAAGACGGCTGCTACTTTTGCACCAAGGGCTTCAACTGCAACAAAGAATCCTGCTGTAGCTGGAACCACATTATACACTGTGTTTGAAGTCCAGGGTTATATCTCAATGTTGTTGGGCGGGGCTCTCTCGTTCAATCTCATTTTCCCATCAAATGAGCCAGACATATGGAGACTCATGGGGATGTGGTCCGTCTGGATGTTCAGTAAGTTCCCCGATCATCTTCTCATCAATGAGAGTACGGTACTCTCTTGGTGTAATATGTTGGTTGCATTGATGTCTTGTAAATTGTGTTTATTTTATTGTACGCTTCGAGCAAAGCAAATACTAGGCTACGAGTTTCATGGACACTTCTTGGTGTTTTTGTATAGTTTCTCTTAGAGCCTGATATGGGCAAATAAAGAGAAAATAATGGCCTTATAAGATACGGAGTATTAGAATGAACTAGCTAATAGATTAGATTCAATCTTTTCATATGGTTTGATCCAAGTGCCTAATAAATTCGCATTATTGTTCCTAGCGTCTCCCATTAGAGACGTAAAAAGAAAATAAGATTTGTCAATGCTTGGTCACATTGAGTTCGATCTTTTAGTGTGGTATGACATTGTATCTTACGATCCAGTTGAGTGACTCTAACTCAATCTTGCATTCTATCAATCATACACTAAACAAGTCTTTATGTTCCATTTCAGCTATTCCATCCCTTCGGGCAAGAGATTGCTCAAAGAATGAGAAAGAAGCACTCAATTATCTCTTCCTCCTTATCCCACTACTAAACATCACAGTTCCATTCTTCTTGAAATCGTTTCCCATTGTTTGGTCAGTGGATGTTGTAGCATTTTTTGCAATGTATGCATGGAAGGTATTTTCTTTTTCCTTAAAGTGCATATTGGTATGAGACGCTTGTTTAGAATTTAAAATACATTTCTTCTTTTTTTTTTGCAGTTCGGATGGCTTCAGAAACAATAATGGTGTAAAGAATAGAATTTGGATCCTTCATGCCAAATGATCATTGTCTTGGGAACCATTATATTACACTCTATCTTAGGCACATCTGGGAGAGAGAGATTTGGATGCTTTGAACTTCTGTTTAGTGTTCAGTTGTTCACTACTTATTAATTTCTAACTAAGTAAATATGCACCCTTTTCTGCCAATGAGATCTAGCCAAATTGGTTAGTTCTGAGTCCTCGAGATGTAGAGAGGACCTAATGCTTTTCTTTTTACACTTATGTCACTTGTTATTCCTATGTATAGGAACTCTTATTGGTACTGTTGATTCTGTTGTTACCTTAAAATCTGTACATGTTTTTTACAATTTTAAATTGAGTGGTCCTTGTATGGCTCAATTCTATGTCAAATCCCGTTGATTATCAAGTATAGTTTATTTGTCATTTTGCATAGACATGGGCCCAATTCTGCACCAGAATTGCCCGGACCTGAATTGTTTTCTAGTTCTGAACCAAACGTAGTCCAATTCAGAGTGGCTCCTCCTAAATAGGACCAGACCGGCTGTTGCCCGTTTTTCTAGAGGCTAAGAAACTGCCAAGGAACCAAACCAAATCGGTTCTAAACAACATGGTATTGCCGGTTCTGGCTCCTACGTTATGTGTGACCACTGACCAGAACTGGCATCCAATCATACTTGCTGCCATGCGCCTTGTACTGTGAGTACGGCTAAAATTAAAGATGCAGAATTTCTCTCTTTTGTATTTAAAAATAGATATTGTTGAGTGTTGTTTATCTAAAGTTGAGTGATATTTATGTCATGATGCATTAGAGTGTTGTCAGCATAAAATTAAGCAATTGACAGATAGAAGATGATTTGAACCAAAATTTTAATTAATCTATCTAAAGACTATGCCCCTAAGCGGCTGTGGAGGTGGGAGAAACCTCGAAGGCTCGAAGTTCCTCCTTTCTATACATAGTGGTCTTTAATTTGAACACCCTTTTTTTCTTTGTTCAGGTTTTTGTACTCTGGCCTACTCATACAATTGCTTAGTTCAGCAGATACATATGTAATTCTTTCTTGAATATGAACCAAAACCCCGACCCGCTGACTTTAAATCTGTTAAAAGCAGCTCCATCATTGGATTCCTAAACTTGAATCAACACTGGTCTGCTACTCCTCATTGTCGTCTGAGGAAGCTGAACTGCTCCCATCATCTGAATCACTGCTCGTACTTTCTTTATCTTTTTTGTCAGATGGTGGGATTGGATGTGAAAGTGGTTCTTCTGGTACTGGTTCATCTTGAGGAGCCGTTTGTAGGAAACTGAGAGCAGCTACAACGTCACCGATCAAAGGACGAACTGATGGCTCTTCTTGGAGGCACATGGCTGCAACTCCAACAGCTTGATTCAAACTTCTCACCGGAAATTCATTGTTCAGAAGTGGATCTGCCAATTCTGGAAACCTCTTAGGTTCCCGGAAAAAGGGTTGTGCCTATTGGAATGAACACATAATTGTAATTGATAAACACATGACCAAACCTTGAAACTTTGTTGAGTGAGAAATTGTCATATTTCCCCCTCCATATAAGAGCTAGATTTCAATTGCTTATGGTTCCATCACAGATGTCAATCATGCAATTCTTTGTGGATCGTGCAACCTTTTAATTTTTCTTCATGAATATTTATTTCATATGGGGTTATATCATACCTGCCGACCCCAAAGTCTTTTGGGATTAAGGCTTGGATGTTGGTGTTGTTGCTGGGGTTATATCTATCATGACTAGATCGGTTGACTCTAATATCCTAAATGATCAACCAGAAACAGTCTAACATTTTATATGTTGATTTGTTATTATTTAACAGTTCCAGCATGAGCAAACTCTCTAGAGAGTGTTGCAAACTTACCCAATCAACTAGATTTTGCTCATCTGTAGGTCTTGCAGTGTCAACAGCTCGGCGACCTGTGATAAGCTCAAGCAGAACGACTCCGAAGCTGTATACATCAGACTTCAAGGTAAGTTCTCCACTTCTTTCATACTCTGGTGCTGAATAACCATAGGTTCCCATAATTCTTGGTGTCATAGTTGGTGCAGTTCCTCCTCCTCCACCGCCAGTGAGCTTGGCAAGACCATATTCAAATAGTTTAGGATTCAGGTCTTGATCCAGTAAGATGTTTGTGGATTTCAAATCTCGGTAGATGATGGGAGGGTTGGCTTTTTCGTGTAGATATTCAAGCCCTTGAGCAACACCTGAAGCTATTCTCATCCTTGTCAACCAATCTAATGGCTCCTTCCCATCTTTCTCTTCTACATCCATCATGTAAATAAAATGAAACAAGTGTGTGGAATGAGTTATTAAGACCCTTCATATCACAAGTTTATAAGAGAAACTGCCTTAGATAGGACCAACATGTTTTGGTACTCCAAAAACAGATCATATTATATTTTTCTTTCTTAGAACTAAAATATGTGAAATGACCATGTTATACTTGTTACAACTTTCATCATTTTTTATTGCTGCAATTTTTCGATAATTCAGGTGAATGGGTAGGGTAGAGTAATTATATACTCTTCATATGTGCTATGCATAATTGTGTGACAATTATGGAGTTATAGTTGAGTTTGAGTATAATATAACGCCTGTACCGGACTAAAAGAAGAATTATGTAAGAGTACTTTTATTTAAGACAATTTCTCTCACAATACTTTTGGAATGAAAATAAAATAGAACTAGTAGAAGGTATTATATTACCAAGGAGATGGTCTGCAAGAGAACCGGTTGGGGCGTATTCATACACCAAAAGTCTTTGTTCTCCATCAGCACAATACCCGATGAGATTGAGAAGATTAGGGTGTTTTAGGAGAGTTAGGAGGAGAACTTCTACAGAGAACTCCTTGCTCCCTTGTGTTCCATTCCTATCTAGCTGTTTCACAGCCACAACCTACATACAATTTGTTAAGTCATCACACATCAAATCAAATAGATATAAAAAACATAATCCAACATATAAGGTATTGAGTCACTGCTCAACCTATCATGCAGACTATAATGAAACAAAGTGCTAATAGTTTAAATACGCTACACAAGCTATAGAGTACAAACTGAGAAGGGATTTATATCATAGAGGCAAGTTAATTACTAAGAATAATACCTGCCCATTATGAAGTGTACCCTTAAATACTCTTCCAAATCCACCTTCTCCAATCAGACATTCTTGTCGGAAGTTCTTTGTCGCAGTGGCAAGTTCACGGAAGTTGAATGCCTTGGCATTATTAGAATTCCCAGTGTCTGAGGCATCGCTGTTGCTGGCAGCTTCGGGTGCTGATGCTGCTTTTGTAGGGGTTCCAGTCACTGTTACAGATAGGTTAGGATATTTTAGGACCCAAAAATGCACATCTCCACGATGACTGCCTAATGCAAACCACACCACCAACATATATTCTTTAGAAATGGACTAGTTTTAATTTTTTCAATGGTATGCCTCAGTTTGGTTTATGGCTTTGATGGATTCTAAAAATTCAGAAATAGTCCAATGCTACCTATATGTCGTTTGAATGTTTTTACTTTTCTATGTAAGATTACTTAACATAATGTCTCTTGAATGTGTACATGTCCACTTGTTGGAAAGAACATAAATGGTTGTTCCTTGTTTCCTTCATGTTCTTTTCTCATGCGTTTTTCTATACTTTTTCCTTGTCCAATAGAATAAAAAGAAGTACCAGGAGGTGGCGGGGTTGAGGTTGGGGGCGGTTCTTTAGGATGGGCAAGCGGTAGCTGGTGAGGTGGCGGGTGGTTGTCGCCTTCTTCCGCCTTTTTCCTCCGGAAGCATGGAAAGCAACTCATGTTTTTTAATCCTCTCACGGCAGCTAAACCGATTTTGTGCGTATGTAGTATATATCCAACAATGTCAAAGACAAGAAAGAATCTGTTTGTCTTGATGACACCAACTTTTGACATCAAAACAAATTCGTAGGTGGTCTATGCATGCACATTGGATAATAACGATGATGAAGATGCATGATAATATGGGATATGATGTCAAAGCAGGCACGCTATATATCATTAGCTTGAGATAGAACACTAATGGAAATGGTTCTCTATTTTTTTCATAAATGTTGTCTGGATGTATGGAGAAAGAAGTCAGAAAGGGGAAAAGGGCCCTCCAGAACGCTGAAGAGATGAAGGAGGACCCTAATGGAGATGAGCTGAATGGAGGAAGAAACTCATTAGAGGAAGAGGGAGGATGAAAAAGTAATGTTTTTTTTTTTGTTTCTTTTTTTCCCCTGTTTTTTTCGTTGAGCTCATCATAAAATCCGGAGAAAATGAGGGGCTTTGAATGGATGTTTTTGTTATTGCCTTATTTAGGAAAAGTGGCCGGATCTTCAAAAATGGGATTGTATTGTGAAAAGACAGATGACAAAATGAAACTCAATTATTTTCGTTACACAAATGGTTCTTGCCGGTGTATTCACAAAACACATTAAATATCACATTTTTTATAGAATACATTTTAATTTAGCATATCATATAAAAAATTACGGAGTATAATTTTATCATACCATAAAATTATTTCTGTTACCGCTGTTAATTTGTTAAATGTTAATCTTCAAGTAAAATGCATAAAGAATATTTTAACTATCACTATTGTTGATTTGTTGTAATTTAGTACCTTGATTCTTAAATACAACATTCAGTAGAATCAGTACTATAATCTTTGTAAATGTTTCAATCGATTACATTATTCAAACTTCCGATTAGGAAAACTTACATGATACTGTATTTCCATGCGTACAATTCAACACACATTTAATATTAATAGTTAATGTGTTACTTGTGCATTTTACTCTTTAACCATAAGTGTCGTGGATTTTTAGGATTTTTTACTTGAAAGGTTTTCAGTATCAAACTAGGGCAAGTTTTAACGCACCAGACCAAACTTAAACAAAATAGATCATACCTGACTTTCATAGTTATAAAATACACAGAGACAAGACATTTATCAGACATGATCAATTCGAGTCAGATCAAACTTAAATAGACTAGACTAGACCGAATCACCAAATTTCAATGCAAATAAAACATCCTTAATTTTGTTTTATTGTTATTGTACCTCTTTTATTAGTTATGAGTCTTTTATTGTTTTTATTTACGAAGTATTATTATTATTCTTTTTACTGATATATTTATTTATTAAATATTGGTAAAACTGATTTAGATATCACAAACTTGCATATGTAAAATATATACCTTATTTAATATTATTTACTTAACAAATGATATTTTAGAATGTTAACTGCATCCAAACAAAGCTTAGAGTGATCTTTTTTTGAACAAAAATTAGCCTCTATTCATATCATTACATCAATCAAAGAAAATGAAAATCTGACACCAACTAGACTCCTACAACTACGACTGTAAACCCTATGATGAGCCTTAGAAACGGTCACCCCTGAAAGAGCAACACGAATCGCTAACCATGTAATGGGCTTGACACAATCATCCATATTCTCATAGATCCAAACATGCTCAATGACATCAAACAAGGCTAAATTTCCAAACAAACTGACAAACCTAACAACATAAACGATAACAAGAAACCAAATGACAAAATAATGAAAATTTATTGGAAAACTTTCACGGACTCTAGCATCTCGCACAACCCATGGCGGTGGTTCAGGAGGAGGCTGTATCCTTGGTACCACTCTAATTGATCCTCTATTGTCAATCATCATCTGGTCTGCTCAAAATCTGTGCAACTCTCCTCGTCCCGCGCTCGTAGGAAAACCACCGCTAGCGATCATCTTCATCGCTGCCATGCCCATGCTACCTTGCTCATGAAGAAATTGATCGCTGAACTCTGGCTTCAATGTCGTCAAACTTGGGCAAGGATTCTTGTCAATCTACCTCAAATCCAATCCTAGCACCGGACACAGGTGAAGGGATTCACCGGTCGGAAGAACCAAATCTTAGATCCGAAAACAGGGTAAACTATGTTGAGTTTCTACTTCAACAGTCGTTGATCGATTCCTTCCTCTTCGACAATGATTAATCAGAAGAGATAAAGAGAAAGCAGGATGTCGGCGGCTCTCAGGTAGACCTGCACAAAAACGGGTTCGGGTCGGGCTCGGGCCGGGCTTTTTATAATTTTTTGCCCATCATATGTGGGCGGGCCCGACCCGGCCCGCAAAAACGGGCCTAACCCCATGTCCATACCCGCCCATAAGAGCGGGCCGGGTAGTCCACCGGGCCTCCGGGCCCGGAAAAACTTTATATTTTTCGATTTTTTTAATACTTTAAAACTAATATTACAACATTTAAAAAATTGTTAATATGCGTGTAATGTTTATAGGTCTTTCACCACATACAAAAATAATACTTACACAAAAATAATAATGAGAAACTATATCTAAAATTTAAAATTCAAGCACAAAGTATTATCTTTAAGTACAAAAATAGATACTATATTAGTTGGGCTAGTGATTCAGATCTAAAAACCTAAATTTAAACATAATAAACTATAAATATGTATAAAGATAAATTATATTAGAAAATATAAATGTACATGTAAATAAATAAATAAATTATATATATATATTAAATGTAGCGGGCCGGGCTTATCGGCCCGAACGGGCCTACACCCTAACCCAAGCCCACCCATATGTTATTGCGGGCCGCGCCTGGCCCGGCCCGGTGGGTAAATATATATGCCCAAGCCCGCCCATTTGTGCGGGCCAGCTGAGCGGGCCGGCCCGGTTTTGTGCAGGTCTACTCTCAGGGTTCGTCCCTCATCGGGAGTGTTAAGAGATGACTTCGAGAACGAGACTCAGAGGGAAGAGCTAGAGTCTCAGTTGATTCACTAACCCAGGACCCATGTCGACGGCGGGCGGCGAAGCATATATACAGTAGCCGATTGGTGGTCTGTGTTCGACGTGAACTATGAAGTCGATTGGTGCTTGCGGTTTCCGTTCAGCGTAATAGCCATAGCTTAGAGTGATCTAAATTATGTGTTTATTAGAGTTTTGCAATAGATGTTTATTTATAAAAAAAAATGCGAGAATAACTTTACATATGAAGTTTATTGTATATATATTGTATATACAAGTTTGAAATATTTTTCTCACCCTATAAAATTTGAGGTATTTTATTATTTTCCTTTGAAATATTTGATGGCATTTATATGTCATTGCTTTTAGTTCACTCATCAAAGAATTAGTGAACTAACTTATACGAAGTTAATACCATAAGTAGCCCTCGATTATTGAGTCAATACTCAATTTAGCTTCACACTATTATTTGATCAAATTTAGCAATGAGCTTCCACTTTTTCCCCAACTTATGCCTCTCCCTATTTTATTTTTATTTTATTTGTCGAGTATAAATTTAGGTCACTCATTATTCCACGGAGGGCTAAATAGTTCGGTTCAACAAAATCGAATAAAATAAAATTGCAAATTGATATTTTGGTTTGGATTCACCGAAGTAAACGGTTTGATAAGAAAATGTTTAAACCGAATTTTTTATTTGATTTAGTTTTAAATTGAAAAGCCGTAAGCTAAATTGTTAAAATATGTTGATTGTTAAAATAATGTTGATTGTTAAAATCGAAAAGGGAAAACTATCAAATAAGCCCACGTACTATGCCGAAAAAGTCGATTAGGCCCTCGTACTTTACAAACACTCAATTAAGTCGTCGAACTATTAAAAAATGTTCAATTAAGCTCTTTTGGTTGGTAAATAAGTAGTTTCCCGGTTAAACGGCGACGATGGCGATGTTGTGCTCGAACCCCAGCAATGGCGACTGCCGGGAAACGGGTTACATTTAACCGGGAAACTGATTACTTACCGACCGAAAGGGCTTAATTGAACGTTTTTAATAGTTTGAGGACTTAATTGAGTATTTGTAAAGTACGAAAGCCTAATTGACTTTATCGGTATAGTACGGGGACTTATTTGATAGTTTTCCCAATCGAAAATGTTCAAATACAATGTCGCATTTGTTAAAATACGTTGTATTGTCTTCAATCTTCACATTTCGTCTCTAGATTGTAGACAAATAACTTTGTCATGAAAAATACATAATTAATATATACTCCCTCCGTCCCGCTATTAACTTCCTACTTTCCTTTTTGGGCCGTCCCAAAATTATCTTCTCATTTCCCTAAATGGAAAGTTATCCTACATCAAAACAGTGTCAAACAGTGCAAAACAGTGCCAAACAGTGTCTAAACAGTGCCAAACAGTGTCTAAACAGTGTCAAACAGTGTCTAAACAGTAAAGTCAAATTTATTTCCTAAATATGTGTGTAGGTCAAAGTAGGAACTTAATAGCGGGACGGAGGGAGTAACATTTTAGGTTTTACAAGTGTCATGCTTTCCTTAAGACAAATTCGCTTTTTGTTTTAAAGGAAGACAAAATTCGTTTATATAACACATTTAAACAAGTAGTATTTGTATTTGGTATGAGTTTTTTTTTTTGGTTGAGAAGATGCAACTTTGAAAAAGACTTTAACATGTCACAAGTCCTACTAAGACAAATGAGGTGCTCTTTTATACTCGATATTTTATTATATCTTTTAGTTTCCTTCACACTTTACTTAAATAATAAATACAACATGATGAGATGGATTATTAAGTTCATTTTCATTTTGGTGATAGAACTTCAAACCGGACTTGATCAAATCACTTCCAAAGAAACATAAATGGTCCTATTTTGGTACAATCTTTTCAAAACCAAACAAATCGAAATCCAATAGAAACTAAGAAACATCTAAAAGTAAACTGAATTGTGCACTCCTACCGTGAAGGCCATACTTATAGGCGCAAATTCAAATAAGGGAAATCTCAAACAAATGGAAAGATAGAAATGGCTTGTTCTTATTTAATCTTATCATCAACTTCTATTAGATTCATCCAAAATACATATACAAGTTACAACCTATAGTGATATTATAAATGAATTGAACTTACTATTAATGAAAAAAGATAATCACAATTAACAGACTTGTCTTTCATGAAGTTAAAGAAATCAAAACTAGGGACCAATAGTGACTATATTAGTAGCTTAAGACAAATTTAGATATTGCGTAAGATATCGAGGACTTTTTTCATTATTAAAGGGTGTTTGGAACTGATTCTGCTTCTGCTTCTTTTTTAAAAGCAGAAGTAGAATCAAAATTAGTTTTTCCCCAGCTTCTAAAAAAACTGATTTTGAGATTAAATTAGAGCTCCAGAGTGCTTCTAGAATTTCACAAACACTCCAGTTTCTGCTTCTGCTCCCTGAAAGAGCAGAATCAGTTTTGAGAATCAGATCCAAACACCCCCTAAATTCTACTTTGTTGTGTTATGGTGAAAAAACATATATAGCTAATTAGCTATCATATACTCCCTCCGTCCCGGGGAGAAGTTCCCGGGTTGACTTTCACACATTTTTAGGAAATAAAGTTATCGAGGGGTAAATTTTACTGTTTTGCACTGTTTCGACACTGTTTGGCACTGTTTAGCACTGTTTGGCACTGTTTTAATGTAGGATAACTTTCCATTTAGGGAAATGGGAAGTTTCTTTTGGGACATCCAAATAAGGAAATTGGGAACTTCTCCCCGGGACGGAGGGAGTACTCGGTATTACATTCATCTTTCATAACTTCAACAATATTCTTTTTACGGTTGCCTTATCCCCTCCTATCCACTTAGGGTCTGTTTGCAACAGAATCTGATTTTAAAAAAGTGTTTTTTTTAATGAAATGGGGAGAAATGATTAAATAAAAGTTGATAGTGTTTAAAAAAAAAGTGATTTTGAAAAGTAAAAGTGGGTAGTGTTTGGTAAAATAAGTGCTTTTTTTGTAATAGAAAAAGTAAAAGCAATTTTGACGCGGAAGCCGAGAAAAATAAAAGTTGTAATGTTTGGAAAAATAAGTGCTTTTTTAAAGTCAAAAGGTGAGAAGTGATTTTTTAAAAGGAATTGCAAACCAACCCTTACTCTTTGAAGTTTGAACTTTGAAGTAATTAATTACAAATTGTTGTTATTTCTCTCTCCATAACTTAACCACACTGTCCACACATATTTTACCATTTCACGTGCTCATCAAACTTTTGACAAAGGTATGAGGTAGGGGTGGACCGGTTCCGGTTCGGGCCTAGGCCCGGCCGGGCCTCGATTCAGGAATGGGAGGCCCGGAACCGGCCCGGGTAATCTCAGGTCCGGGCCGGGCCAGGCCTCGGTTCTATTTTTTTTTTGCTTTTCCTAATTAACCCCCAACCCTCCCCGCTCACCCCCAAACCACCTCAAATGATCCAAAATACCCAGCGTCCCAGCCCAACCCAAAAACTTAAAAAAAATTCAAAAAAAAAAAAAAATTAATTTGACCCAAACCGGCCGGGCCGGTTCACCAATCCTAGGGCCCGAGCCCGAACCGCATTCCTACCGGGTCGGGCCAACCCGAACCCCCCCCCCCCCCGGACTGGTTCCCGGGCCGGGCCAGTTCAAACAGTAACCAGGCCGGGCCGGGCCGCCTGGCCCGATCCATCCCTAGTATGGGGGGAGTATTTTATTCCTTTTTTTTTTTACCGTAGGGAGTATTTTATTCCAAGAAAGTACGGAGTATGTTATTGTGATACCCTTCAATTTTAATCTTCATTATTGATTTATTGGAATGCAAAAACACTTTACTATCGTTAATACTTAATAATAATAACGTAGAACAAATGAGAGATGGTTCTCTATGAGTGGACAGGGCAATATATTGTTCACAGATCTCAGTTGTTTTTGTTCAAACTAAGTCAACCAAGAACCAACTCTGGAAAAGCTCATCTTAACTCTACAAGTCTACAGTATCAAAACTCAAAAGAGTTATCAAAGAGGTAACGAAAACAAACTAAATTATGCAAGTCAAATTGATCTTAGCCAACCGTGACATCAACGAGCTGAACTTAGCGTCGAAGCATTTGTTTGGGTTCATTTTTTGAGAAATACGGCCCGTAGCTACTTCATTCCACTTGGAAACCCTAGGAACCACTGATCAACACAACTCTGAGATTGTGTTGACCATATTCCTCATAACAGACTGAAACACCCCTTGCAGGCAGCCAAATTGATGCCATCCATCGGGTTGACCCGCGTCTGACTCCACCATGCAATTAAGCACACACTTAGGCTGATCAGGCATGGTACTAACCAAGTCTTCGGGTAAACTTATAGCACCAAGGACTACCGACCTTTATGCCGAGCACGAGTTACCAATTACCATGATGTGCTGAAGATTGGGAATTGGGATTAGGCCAAACCAAGTGGATGCTAGTTCCAATGCAATATGACTACGATTGTATTTCAATTATTTGATTAAAATAATTATAAGTAAAACAAATTATTTGTAGAATAATTTTGAGAACCACTATTTATTTTATTTGCCAGCCGGTGCAAAAAGGCATCAGCACAAAACGTGTATCCGGGGAAGCGTCTCACCCTGTATAAAGAACAAGACTTTCCCGATCAAATTTTGACATGAGACCACTCAAAAATTGAACTTATAACCTCTTAATCACTCAGCAGAATCCGTCTTAAAAGGTGCTCCAAGGCTCTTAGGCTCCCCTTTGATTTTGATAACTACTAATGTCTGAAAACTAATCACTCAATATAAGTCTACCAGCTTTGTAAGTGAAACCAAACCAAAGCATATTACAGCTTTGTAATATGAGTACCTTAGAGGTCTCAACATTCATCCTCCAACTAAACCAAAGCAATATCTCTATCATTAAATATACGGAACCTGTTAGTAGAATGATTTTGATAACTAATGTTTAAACAATTAATCACTCAATTCAAGTCTCCTACAAATAATCACTTGATTTAAGTCACCCTCCAACCAAACACACGCTTCTCCCCTTTCCATCAATTTATTCGAAAACCACTCAACAGGAAAAGGCTTAAGAATGCCAATCATCAACAGCTAAACTGATTATCTCCTCTATTTATACAAGTAAATGGCAGTAACATATTTGGTTCAAAAGAATGATGAGGGATTAGAATTTTAAAACCCAAAAAGAATTATGGAAAAGTAAAGTAACTGAAACAAATTTTGCAACTTAAATTAAATAGGGAAAATGGAAACTAATAATCCAACTTTTTAGCGGTCTTCTTTCAATAATCCCATCTTTTGATTATTCATGAATAATCCAACATTTGCACCTCATCTTCATTCATTGGTCCCTAGTCGGTTAATGACCTACTATTCCAAGTTATTTTCTTATCTTTCCAGAATATTATCTTTGTGAAAGATGAGATTTATGGTATAATGATTTGCAAAGATAAGAAAATAGCTTGGAATAGCAGGTCATCAACCGGTCAGGGACCAGTGAATGAAGATGAAGTGCAAAGGTTGGATTATTCATGAATAATCGAAAGGTGGGATTATTGAAAGAAGACCGTTAAAAGGTTGGATTATTAGTTTCCATTATCCCAATTAAATATGGCATGCAGCATAATTTTGAAGGAGGGAAAGTGAACAAAGTAACCGAAAAGTGACTCCACAAAATTTGAGATATGAACACTCCCCCCCCCCCAAACAAATCAACACATCACTCCTTAAAATTCCTCTAATCAAACAAGGCCTTAAAGCGACTTGTTCAGACCTAAAGTAAAGGCTCAACTATTTTTCCCAACACATTGTTACTAATATATACCACATATATTACTAGGTTTTCGTGGACACTATCGACGGGTTGTTCCACAACCCAGACATTACATTACATGCATTCTAATAAAAAGTCATATACAAACAACCTACTTTCCCATCACCTGTCTATGGTATAAATGTCTGATATATTTTTTCCTATCTAACTTGTCTCCCCTAGAGACTATTATCAGCACGATGTTTTCTACTGCATATCTTAATGATCCAAGAGTAAACGTGACTAAATAGCTATGGGTAAACAGGTCAACCCCCACTCATTCAATAATTAAATACAAGACGGTTTAAAATTTTCAAGAAGGAATGCTAATGAGGGTTTGAAAAGTGATGAAAATATAAGCACCGTTGTGTTTCACCCTGATCTTATCCCAGAAGTTATCGCTAGAAAGATTGTAAAACATCCAAGTGTGGTCTTCAGCATGTGTTAGTGCATAGCTACAAGAACTGTGAACTGTTTGTATTCTATAGGGTTTTTTTGGATGAAGGTTTTTGAAGAGAAATGCTTTGGAGGGCTTGGGCAGTGCTTGCAAAAACTTAAAAAGTCGATTTTCATCATTTGGCTTAAAAAAGAGAATTGGGTGTTTTCAAGTGACAACTTCACTTAAATTAAACACTTAAAAGCTAAAAGATGAAAAGAGGTGGACGGACACTTTGAACTGCTTTTCACTTTTTGTATTACACAAAGTACACTTTTTATCAAACACTACCGACTTTTATTTTTCAAAAGCACTTATTTCTCAAACAATATCAAATTTTACTGTTTTAACAATATCAAAGTAGAAGCAATCACAAACACTCTCTTAGTCTATCTATACCTTGATAAATAGAATGTTCCTAAAAATGAATAAAATGTGATTGAAAGCTTTTACAATTACAAATCACTTTCCACTAAAAACAACAATTTTCGTTAATTTTTTTATTTTATAAAACCTCAACCCCCCCTCTGTTTCTCTCTCTCTACATATACACACATATGTGTGCACGTACATACACTAAGCCCTCTAAAGCATTTCTCCCCAAATCCCTATATCCGAATTTTAAACAGACGGTATGTTGATCCATTCGAATCCCTTGTTAGGTGGTTATCTTAGGAGTACTAGGTAATTATGGAGTTAAATTATTGTAGAATGCAGACCAGTAGATAAAAAAGCAAGTAAAGATAGATGATTACTGATTAGTACCTCCTTTTAAAGATGAGAATGTAGCCGTAAGCATAAACGTATGTAGATGAAATAATAGTAATGAGAATAATAATAACAACGATTTTAAGGATACAGAGGAGGATACAGATGTAGACAAACAGCAGAAACCTGTTTCACTTCTACTGCAATATTTCAAGAGGAATCCAGCCAAAAAGATTATATTAGTATTCCCATTCTTCTTTCTGGAAAAAATCGATAAAAGGTGGTATTCAGGACAAATTTTTATCATGATTACTTACCACACCTGGAAGGACCACTTACTTTAACATTCTTAATCTTAACCTCACTTGAAAACCATGCCCAATCACTACAGCAGACATTTTCAGCCACTCAGCTTTACCAACATTTAGATTTGACCTTCATAGATTATCATGAGATTCTGAAGGATCATATCTGTCATCAAATTTATTGCGCGAAGTGGACACTGATTTATAATCATCATATGATTCCCTTCCCCTCCGTCTTCCATGGCCAATTCTCTCTTTGTGAGGAGTGTTATAATTATATGACTTCTGGTGTTTTTTACCAGAACTGTGAGAAAAATCTTCCTTGTATGATTCTCTGTCACCTTGCTTCCTCCTCAGACCTGTTTGCCAATTGGTATTGGTTCTATCTGGGCTTCTAGAATATTCCCTTGTGCTATGTCCATTTCTCCCAACACTTCTATCTGCAACCATAGTACTATGAGAGTGGTTTGATCTATCTTTGGAAGAGCCACTTCTGAAATCTGATGACCGGGATTCGGGATGAGAGTGCGACTCCATCATGTAGTGGTGTGGATGTTCCCTCGTTAAAGATGATTCCAATTGACTCTTATTGGAGTTTGCATCATTGAGTGCTTCTCCTTTTGTTAGGCAATGAACACCACCGGCTAGCTTAATACTCTCCATATATTCCTCTATTATATCCCTCATTACCTAACACATGGATATACCAAAGAAATATGATTCCATTTGAAAAATAGAAAACTGAAATCAAAATGGAAAACATTAGGAAATTTCCTATCTCAAAGCCTGTCTAGTACCCAGATGGTAACCTTATCAGGATTTCTGCTTAAACAGAATAATAAGAAGATTTGGCTGACTTGTTTATTTGGCAGAAATAGATAAAACCAATAATTAATCCTTCCGAAAATTCAGAAGATCCATTAATTTCTCCAGCCAAATAACTGTTAATAAAAACAGGCCGTCACTCAAGGATTGGTAGATGCTTTAATTTTTTAATTGAAACTCCAAACTCTGATTTTCAAGATATAAAAAAGGGCAGTTCGGTGCACATTGGAGTCCTCGCAAGGCGAGGATTCGGAGAAGGGTCCCACCACAAGGTGTATAGTGGGTAAGCCTTCCCTTTTCATTTTGACAAGAGGCCGCTCCCAAGTCTTGAATATGTGACCTCTTGGTCACACATCAAAATCATCGATTCTTTCAAGGCCCCCTTATCTGTTTTTCAAGGAAAAAAGATTACATAACAGTACTGAATGTCACCTGTGTTGTTGAACGCTTCAACTTCTTGCCACGATATGACATTCTTCTGCGCTTGTAATCCCTTTCCTCAGCTAGCAACTCCTCTCTTGTCTTTGTTTTATTTGTTTCCTGATATTAACATGTAGATTGAAATTAGTAACACAAAAAACATTCATTCCTTAATATTTTCTATTTTCTACTGATGTGATGATGCAGCTAACCGAAAGTTAAGAAATTACGTAATAAACAATAACTAGTAATTACTTACCGCACTATAATGAACTGGTTTGGATCTACAAAAAATACATTCCTTTGGGGTTTGGGATCTCAACAAAATCCCAGTTTCACCAACAATTTTATGACCAAATGATGAGATAAACAAACCTTACATTTAACATGCAGTTCATGATGTTTTCAATATGTGACAGTTTATTCAATATACCCTACCTGATTGTGTGACCTCTGCCAAGGAAGCCCATCGTGATCAATTAAAGCTTTATAATCGGGCCGCTTTTGTCTTTCCTCATCAGCTCTTCTTGCCATGTCTTCATGCTCAGCATTTCTAAAAGATGATTAGATCACAAGTTAATGCCTTGTGTGAAAGCAAAAGGTTCGGTTACCTGTTCAAGCTCACTGAGTAGCTGGACATAGGAAAATGATACTCCGTATATCAATATTGAATTTTAAAGATCATTATTCTTGTTACCATTAACCAAATTCACTACAGAAGAGGTCAACTATATTCTATTCCTTATTCTTCTTGTCAAAGCAGTAAGGCAGATAACGGAGAACACATTTGGTTCTTTTACTTCTATGGTTTAATAATTTTCAAAGGCAGCAAAATGTAATTACAAACATAGAGCCATTAGGCAAGGGTCATGTTGCTGAAATGGCTGAACCTCCTTGATTTTCTGAAAGGAAAACGTTGGGTAAAAAACTACTTATTATGCTGAAAATAAGCCACACTTTTGGCTACCAATTGAAGACTTGACCCACAGACCACTGAGATGCAGACAAAATGTCCAAATACTGCTAAATAGTTGTTCTACACTGTCATTTGCAACATACCTTTGGAATGCAGAAAGTTGCTGCACATTCTGTAACGCTCTGATCTTTCCTTCAAGTATTGATCTTTCGTGCAATGCAGCAACAGCTGCTGCTACTTGAGAAACAGAAATCATGGTTTTACTCAGCCCTCCAGCTCCTACATTGTTTCCTTTGTTCTGCTTTGTACTTTGATTTGAATTACTACTTACCTGTGGCTCCTCACTATCTTTGTTGACTATGTCTAATTTTGATATTTCTGTAGCTTCTGGAAGTCCAGAAAATAAAGAGTGCTCCAGTAATTCATCAAAGATGCATTTTGTTAAAATGTTAAATGCAAATAACCTACCGCTCGTTTCACCGTACAATATAGATAGTTGGGAGGCCAACCACACTAATACTCTAGCTAATATTGGACAATCAAGCCTACATCCACTCAAAATTGATTCCTCACCCCCTTCCAGTTTCATATGTGCATTAGCTAACCCAATAGTTTCACTGAGAATAGCTTTCAAACACAGCTTCAATAAAATAACAATATGACTACTCATTGCAGGATCAATTACTATGCCGAATTTAGGCGAATTTGCAATCACCCATGTTGGCAAAGAGCACATACTGATCATTTCAAGCCGCAACATAGCCCGGACAACTCTGTAAGAATAGCTACATGGAAAGTCATTCCACGACTCAATTTCAGACCTAATAGCGTATATCTCTGAAGGAAGAAGCTCTGTATGGTCAATGGGAACCTTCTTCGGATCTATAGTGCTATTTTTCCCGAAGTTTGAGCATTCAGATAATAAGAAACTGGGCAGAGTAAGCATTGGAGGAGAGGAGTCCTTACCGGGGAAGCTTACAACTCCGGGACAGTCGGAGTATAAGAAACTATTCGGGTCAAAACCAGAGTAGTTTTCGAGGGAGAAGCATAGTTCGGCTTCGGGGTCGTGGAGAGACTGATTGAATTGGATATTGTTTCCCTCAACAGAGGAGTGGAGACTGTGTGGGTACCGGCAGGACTGAATTAGAGAATGCAATTCAGCAGACGATGAAGACGGAAAGCAGTGGAGGCTGTGGTTGAATAGAGAGGGAGGCGGGAGGCGGTGGGTGGGGTTAAAAGGACATGGAATTAGAGCAGTCGCCGGAGAGGGAAAAGTAGTCGGAAGTATGCCGGAGAGAGAACTGAGAGTGGTTTTAGATAAGCGCAGAAGCGAATTGAGGGTGGAGAGAGCGGTCTGGACATCAGATGCCTCGGCAGTTGTTGTGGTGGCGGGGGGAGGGACGTGAAAGCCAGGAGGGAAGAAAAGGCGAGGCGTAAAATTGGTGGCTGACGACGGCGGCGGCGGCGGCGGGTGAAAGCCAGTAAAGGAAGGCTGTGCAGGTGGAAAAAGGTAAAAATTGCCGGCGTCAGGCGGCGGCAGGGGAGGAGCAGAAGGATTCATCTGAACCTCTTTGGCTGCAAAACGCATGGAGTCGGGTTAATTTTAACTAAACTAGTGTAGCATAGTGGGCAATTTGACATGAGTTAAAACGAAAGAAAGTGGCACAGTTTTTAATAAAAGTAGGTTTATGTGGTTGATATTGAATTGATAAAGTAAGAATAAAGTAAGAATGATTTAGAACCACACAAATTTTGCCAAATAAGGTATGAGACAATCTTAGTGGGACGGACCGAAAAGGTAAAACGGGACAATCATAACGGGACGGAGGGAGTATGAATTATTCATAAGATCCAAAGGTCAATATAATGCATTTTTACTATGATCTAACCACACATAACAATAATTTTACATAGTACGAAGTATATATTTACTCTTTAGTATCAAGGTCTTTTATTGCGGCACTGTTGTATCGCGATCACTGCGGTTGCGGCTATTGCACCTGTTGTGATGCGTATTGCGGCCAATGCGGTATAATTTAATTGTACGTTCAAACGAAATAAGAAAATAATTAGTGTTGATTTTCTGATACAGTCTGGTATGGCCCCGTGCGGGCACGTTGCGGTTTTGTTGGGTTACATAGTAGATTTCCCTTTGAGGAAGCGGTCCAGCTCAGCTGGTCGCCGACTCATTCTCCCTTATAGGAGGTCCCGAGTTCAATTCTCAATGGAGTGAAATTGATATCAGTTTACCCCAGGCCCTCCAAACCCCCCTCCCCCCGATGCCCCTAGGGTAAAAAAACATAGATTTCCCTCGTAATTTGAAATTTCACCTCCATTGCAGCCCAATGTTGTTATGCTAGAAAATGCAACCATAATATTGAAACCGCAACACGTGTTGGATCCCAACCTATCCCTGTTGCGGCCACATACAATGCAGTTTTGTTGGGTTTCGTCGGGACGATAGAAGTACATTATTATTATTCTTGTAGTTGTGCATTATTGAAGAATAATAAAAGTGTTATGTATGAAATTGTTATTGCAAAAATTTTGACTGTGTTCATACTATGTGCATATTGTGTCATGTTTTCATATCATAATTTTTTACTCACGATATAAACTGAGTGTATTTATTCTTATAATTGAAGTATACATTGAATTTGAAACATTACTTACAATATGATTTAATGCAACGTCCAATCAATAATTAAGCATATTATATAGACATTACAAATTAATTAAATGTTGTAATGTAGAAGTATGACTTTTTTATTAGCATTTGTGTTATTTATTGAGTTAAACAATGATTGTAAAATTAAAGTAATGTAGCATGTATTATGCGAAGTCAACAAGAAAGTCACACGTAGCATTTCATAATTTAACATATACTAAGGAATCTGGTGTTTTAGGCACTTTATTTTGAAAAATTAACTAAAAAGTTAATTATAAAACTTAATTTTAAGATTTGAATCTACTTAAAAAAGTTTTGGGCTTCATTGACAAAAAAGTTCTAAGTTTAAAAATCTCCATCAATTAGATCTCAGATTTTATTTACATACACAATATTGGTTTCATACGAAAAATCATAAAAAATTATGAATTTTGATATTTTTTAATACAAATTAGAGTACAAATAAAAAAAAAATTATAAAACTTTAAAAATAAGAAAATTTCCCTCTTCTCTTTTCTCCAAATGAGTTGGCCTAATTAAGAAGAATAGCCAGTGATGAGAAGCCCAAAACTATTACCTCTACCCGGTTTACTCAAACTATGACTCGCCTCAAAAGCTACAAGTCATCACACCCGGATGCCAATACATACCCTCCTTATCTCCAACGAGCCATTCAATTTCACAATAAATTCAACCGATCGCTTTCAACAAATGTAGGTGTGCCTACGACATATGTTATTTGTTAACTATTTCTCTTGTGACTTTATGTTGTACTTTCCTTTATTGAACTTTGTACTTGTGATCCTATATTTAATAAATTGGAGAGTGTTCCCTGGCGCTCTCCCCACTTATACTGGCTTCTCCAGGAAAAAAAAAAGCCAGTGATGGAAGGTGTGAACATAGGGAGAATTAATTAATTAAATGTTTTAATATGTGTGATAATACAATTTTTAGTAAACCATAAGAGATTGATACATAATTAATTTCTAACTTAGATTTACTATATAAAACGACATATTTATTTAGTTGATTATACGATGAAAGATGGAATGAAGTAGTGGAGGAGTTTATCTCTGTGTATCACGTATTCACGTGTATAGACCTATTAAATTTATTACAACTCATTATTTAAAGAACTTTACATTATAAGGGTGTTTCCTTTTGAACTGTTTTCAGTTCTAGATCATACCAGACCAATCATACCAGACTAATTTTTAACAAACCAGACCAGACTTAAACAGACCATACCAGATCAGACCAACAAATTTCAAGGGGTTATGTCTAAAATAATACTATAAAAAGAGCTATGGACAAAAAAGGGACCTTTTTTTCTATTTTCCAAAAATGACACTAAAAATGGGTTAGGAGACTATTATACCCTTATATTAATAGAATCTCACCCATTAGTGCTACCGTAACGCTACAGTGACCAATAACCTTACAGTGATCAAAATCCGCCAGTGACCAAAAATCATTAGTGACCAAAAATCCAAATTCAGCCAAGTGATATACGTTCACCCATCTAGTGACCAACGTCCGCCCGTACAGTTACAATTACCCGACCCTTCCAGTTACAGTTACCTGACACGTGCAATTACAGTTACCCGATCCATCCAGTTACAATTACACAACCCGTCCAGTTACAGTTACCCGACTCGTTCAGTTACAGTTACTGACCCGTCCAATTACAGTTACATAACCCGTCCAGTTACAGTTACCAATGCGTCCACTTACAACCCGTCCAATTACCCATAAACCACCACTGGCCACCGCCGACCGCCACCGCTAGTTGTCAACGCAACCCCTCTCCTACGCCAACACCAGCCCCATTCTCGGTGTACCCCAACCCCCCTCCAGTGGTCCAGCCTACCCTAGCCCCGACCCCCAACCCCACTACTATCGCCGGAAACCACCACCATCCTCCACCGCTGGCCGCCACCCCAGCCCCTCCCCTACACCAACACCAACCTCTTTTCCACCCTACCCCAGTTCCCAACCCACTATCGGCCCCTGCCACCCCAGCCGCCACCGCCCCTGCTGATCAGCCCTCTCAATTGCTACCTCACTCCTTCACCAGCCCCCGTTCGTACAATCGATGCATCGTACCATCATTCGTCGCCCCCAGAACCTGCTCTGATCACTAGCTGCACCACATCGGCCCCTAGCCCATCTCAATCATCTCCCCTGCCCCAGACCCGTCATAACCCCATCCCTTGCTCCCGTTAACCCTAGTTGCTGCTTACAATCATATCTCACCACCGCTACCCGCCTGATTGGAAACCCTAGGCTTCAGATCTGGTAGTTGAACCATGTTGCACCACCATCGCCGATCTGAAGTGAATGACTATGGAAATCGGGCGAAGAAGAGCGAAGAAGAGCGAAGGTGGCGGCGGCTCTTGGTTGTACGAAGAAGAGCGAAGGCGGTGGCTCTTGATTGTGCGAAGAAGAGTGAAGGCGGTGGCTCTTGGTTGTGCGAAGAAGAGCGAAGGAGGCGGCTCTTTGTTATGTGAAGAAGAGCGTGGTTGTGCGAAGAAGATGACTTCGCGCAGGGACGAAGTTTGCTGGGAGCCTGGGATGCCGCGATGATGCTATGCGTAAGACCTGGGCAATTTGGGCATTTCACGACATTTTAATCCCTTATTTGTCTATTACGAAAATTGGTCTTATTTTTGCCCACTTAAAAGCTGATAGTCCTATTTTTGTCATTCTTTCAAATTTCAATCCGAAAGAAAACATTCTAGGGTAAATAAAGTAACTTTATAATTAGAAATCTACATTTGTGAAAACCGAAACTAATAATCAAAACGTAAGTGATTAAGGACTCCACCATTTGTATGCTTACTTTTGTACTCCGGTATAATTTATAGAAATTGTCCTAAATAGGAGTAAAAACGTTTTGAAATTCCAAAATAGGAGTACCATGTTTTTTATTCCCTGAATAGAAGTAATCTGCCAAGTTTGGAAAAAATGCCATGTTTAAAGCTTTGTAGTGCCAAACTTGGCAGAAATTTACTCTTATTTAGGGAATAAAAACTTTTGGAATTTCAAAAAGCTTTTACTCCTGTTTAGGGAATTCTCTCTATAATTTATCTATATTACTACAGTAATTCTCCAGCAGTGTTAATGATTTACTAGTACAATTTTACATGTTGACGTTTTTCTTCCGATCTTGTTCAATGTTATTCTTTCAGCTTTATTCTCCTATTTTTTCTCTTTTTTCAGTGTTAATGAATTTAGATGTATTTTTTTTTGTAAAAACTGAAGTGAAAATAAATAAATTATAGCACTATTAAAAAGAAGTTTTTTTGCTCTTTCCTTTCTCTAAGGTGTTTTAGTAGGAGTGATTATAGAATTTTTAATAATAAATAGAATTTCTAACTCAATTTTACTATATAAAAACAATAGAAAATATTTTATATTTTTATATATGCAATATTAGTCTTATATATTGCATATATTTTTATACATGCAATATTAGTCTTATTTTTTTATATATGAAATATTAGTCTTATATTATGAATATTAATACGGAGTATAATTTTTGTAAAAATTGGGGTATGAACACAAAAGTTAGACCACTTTTAAAAAAGAGATTTCTTTTTACCAAAAAAAGAGAGAGAGAAATTTGTTTTGTTCCAAATGAGAGGTCTATTTTTTTGCAGCCGTGATTCACGGTTAGGAAGTTGATAGCCGTGATGCCGTGCATTAATTAATTGTTTTAAGAATAGTTATAAAAAAATTGCATTACCCAATTAACACATCACTGTTTTTTAACTCAGTTTTACTATATAAAACAATAGATTCTTATTAACTTGGTCAAATATGAGGTTATGGAGTCTTCATATTGGATGCGAAAGTTTTGAATGGATCAAATTTTATATTTATCTAAATACTAGCGTTTGATCGCGCAAGGCGCGAGAGCTTTTGCCCAATGTCATT